CGCTTCTGACGCTGCGCTGCCGTCTTCTGCTTGGCCCTCCAACCGGCCAAGAACGCCTCCTGAAGATCCTCCGGTGCCTCGTACTCCTCGTCGTCAGGCCCGTCGTTGTCCGACGCCAGCTCCTCGTCGACCTCGGCGCCGTCCTCGAAGAGGATGCCCTCGCCCCCTCCGGGGTCTCCGTCGCCTTGGTCGCCTGCTTCCTCCTCGTCGTGCTGCGCCTCCTCCAGGTCGCCGTCGTGTTCATCGTAGTCTTCACCGTTCTCCACCTCGTGCGCGTGCTGGCCAGGGCGGCCTCGAGGTACGAATGGCCTGCGAGCCAGAAGAGGATGCGGGAAGCGACCGCACGAGCTCCCGGAGGAGCGCCCGTGCTCACGCTGCGCCGCCACAAACGGCGAGCGGCGAGGGAGCACCGAGCGCTTCTCGGTGTCGCGCACCTTCGAGTAGGCTGCCTTCAGCACGACCTCCATGCGCTTCGAGTCGTAGATGCCGCCGCAGTTGAAGAGCACCTGCGCTCGCTCTCTTTGCGACAGCCCAGCACCACGGAGCATCTTGCTCGCCAGCGCGCGATCACTGATCGCTGAAGTGGGATCCTCGAGCTGCAACTCCATGCGCTTCTTCCGCAGGTACGTCGTCCAGTCCATGATGGGCTGCCCTGCCCGACGGTGAGCACGCTCCCACTCCTGATGCACTTGATCCAGGCGCTCGTGATCCATCTTCTCGAAGGCGTCATCGTAGATAGCAAAGATGGTCTCGAGCGTGTCCTCGCGTCGGAGGTCCGACGCGTCAAGTACCTCGATGAGCTCCTTGGCCCGACCTGTCACCTGACTGTAGATGACCAGGCCCAGCTCCACGTCGGAGAGCTGGTTGAGATTGCGGATGGCCTCCACAGCCTTGCGCCACTCTCGGTACTTCTTGGTGCTAGTGCCGACGGCACCGTCGAAGTCCGGGAGCCTCACCTGTGACAGCAGTAGGCGTGCACGCCTGGGACCGCTGTCGCCACCACGATCCCGCTGCATGGCCAGGATCTCCCTCTGGGTCTCGGCCATCACGCGCAGGACCGCGTGCAGGTCCGGAGAACCTGCGCCGGCGGAGGACACCGCCTCCGCGTCCGAGCCGCCGTCTTGGCTGCCGGCCATGGCGGCGCGCGCGGGTGGTCGCAGCCACCCGAGCAGAGCACGCAGTGCGTCCGCTGGAGCTTACAAGCTCCGCTACCAATGTCAGTGCAGTTCTTTTTGCTCGGACCGCGCGGCGGTCAAACTGCGGGTGCAGTCCCAGGGCCCTACGGCGGCGGGCAACATGCATGCCACAAAACATGAAAGGTATGTGCAGCATGCTCACAAGGCGGCACGGGCGGCAGAGGGGCAGGGGAGTGCACTCTTCACAGTTACAACTGAACCATCAACGATAACTGCTGGTTGTGTTTCCGACATCGTCGTGGTAGTAGTGTTGTTCGTTGTATTTTCCTCATGGTTCAACTTCCTCTTGCGCATTGTGGCCCTACCCTGTAAATTCTTGCCCATCATCCGCAGCTCTTTTTGCGGATGTGCCTCCTTTGAGAGCCTCTTGGGGGGCTCATTCATGGTTTTAGGAGCTTATTGGGGCCCTCTGGAGGCCTCCTGGGCGCCTTCTGGGGGCATCGAGGGACTTCCTCGGGCCACCCTGCATCCCACCGCGGTCTCCCTGAAGGACTGGGTCACGATTTGGAATGCTTCGGGGGCGCCTTTTGGCGGCGCGCAAAAAAAAAGGTATGGGGGCGGGGGAAGGCTTCTTAGAAGGAGGCTGATTCTTAGAAGGCGCGGGCCATACATCTTCAGACAAGGCCCACGCCTTCTCAGAAGCTTCTAAGAAGCCTTCTCCCCTTCTTCTACCCCCCCCTCTTCGCGTGGCCGAATCTTGGGACCATCTTGGGACGTTCTGGAAGAATTCTCGTGGACTGCCTGGACGTCCTTGTGGGGATTTTGTGTGCGCTGCTCGGGCCTCCCAGGCGCCTGGCTGCAGTCAATGCAATGCGCGGTGCACGGGTGGAGGTGACGGCGAGAAGACGCGGGGCGACGGACGGACAGCAGGCACGACTACGCATGAAACGCGACGACGGGACACGACGGCGGCAGGGGGGGGGGAAGAGGAGGGGAGGAGGAAGCGAAGCGAGTGAAACCGAAAAAGAAAAGCCACGGGTCATCGCTGAAGTGTTGAAGCAAGAGCTGTAGACACATGGAGCAGCTCGCGAAAAACTGTGGGAGCTAAGAAAGGGCACCGCCAGTCACGCAAGGCGCGTAAGCCATGGTTACGAAGCGGCATCCGCCACGAACACTAACTTGCCCAAGACTCATAACAAGCTCGGATCCAGCATACGAATATAATGCTGAATCCAGCTTGGAATTTCTTTACACTGCTCGCGGCTACACGAAATCTGGAAGAAACATACAAACGGACCGCCTCCCAAACACATGCGGGGTCTTCTTTGGGTCGTCGTTGGGGCCTCTTGGGGCTCTCGCGGGCCGTTCGGCCGCCCTCCTGTCCGATTTGGGCACGTTGCGTGAGCCAAGCAGGGGCGCCCAGGAGCCCCAGAAAGCCCAAGGGACCTTCGGCAAAGGCGTCCAAGGGGCTCCTGGGGCCACTGATCTGGGGGGGACCGTTTGGGGGCGGGGGAGCTCCCCCCCCTCCCGCATTGTTAAAATTAGTGACACCAGAGAAAAACCCCAATCAGTGGATGGACAGGTGAGATCGAGTGAGATGGATAATGAGATCGATCATGATATCGATGCTGAACTCGATCGTGGGATCCCGAAATCGGCCCAAAACCAACGACCGGGAACCTGGAAACCCGGAACCGGGAACCGGGGAACCCAGCCGGCTACCGAAATCGGTCTGGGACTGTAGCCAAATCCTGCAATATCCGCTAGGACCCATTCAATGCAAGCAATGATTGGGGAAAGAAAGGGAATCTATTGCCCCACAAGAACTGCACCATATAATTAGATTGCACCACGTAGGTTACACCATATAGTATGGTAGGACACACAGTTAGGAATCCACTCTTGCTAACACATATACGTGATAACATGATGGGAGAGAGAGCATACTCTTGATGACGGTGACCCGAATTGCAATAACCGTTTTTCAAAAGCGCGAACCACGAATCCGAACAAGGTCGCTTATAGCTTAGGCTTCAGGAGCGCCTTGACGTGCACACAGGTCGCCAGCACTCTCTGGTCCCCAGCGCGCAGAAGCCGCCCTTCGGTGAAGGCCAGGGACTTGCCCACCTTGGTGCAGTGACACTCCATGAGCAGCTCCTCGCCGATGCGCGCCGCGTCCAGATAGCGGACGTCCAGCGCGACCGACGCGGACACGGTGGAAGCGTTTATCCGAGATATCGCGACGGTTGTCAGATTGTCGAAGACGCTGGCGATCGCTCCACCGTGCACGGAGCCGATGCCGTTCGAGTGCGCATCCTGGAACCGGAAGCGCGCAGCCACGCCTCCTGGCCGGAGCCCGTCGACGTCCTCGGAGAAGGCGAGGTGGGCGAGCACCTCCTCGGCCACGAATTTTGCCAAGAACGCGGTCGAGGACGCGAACCACGCCACGAACTTCTGGGAAAGAGCCTCGGCCGTCAGAGGCGGGTCTCTGCCAACGCCCCCGCTCGAGGGGCCCCCGCCCGACATCGCCCCAAACGCTCTGCAGTGAGAGCGGCCTGAGCCGATTGCCCACGAAATGTACCCAACCTTGTGGACAAATGCATGGCAACGCATGTGCACGCACACGGGCATAGCCAACGAAAAAACGCCGACAGGAAGATGCAAGTGAAATGCAATAGTGTGTATATTGAACACGTGAACTATACAAACGAGTGGTGGATGCGCACATCTGCGTCCTCGGCATGCGCTTACGCGCGCGCGAGTGTGTGTGTGTGTGCGTGCGTGCGTGTGTGTGTGTGTGTGTGTGTGTGTGTGCGTGTGTGTGTGTGTCTGTGTGTGTGCGTGTGTGTGCGTGTGTGTGTGCCTGTGTGTGAGTCTGTGTGTGTGTGCGCTCGTGCTACTGTGTGCATGCTTGTGTGTGCCTGTGTGTGTGCGTGTGTCAGAGCGTGCGTGTGTGTGTGTGGGGGAGAGAGAGAGAGAGAGAGAGAGAAAAAAACAAGAGAAACCCAACAGAGAGTGTGTGCTGCATGCCCGTGGCCATGTCCGTTGCAGTCGGACCTGGGCCAGAAGAGCACCCCTCAGGAGCATGAGGCCCTCCGCCGGCCAAGCCGCACAGAACATCCGAGGGCCCCCTCCCCAGGGTGCACAAACACACATCCAACAAACACGAAGAACACTGGGGTACCCTCCCCGAACCGACCTCGATCTCACACCTCGGTCCGATGCAAGGCCAGAGGTGCCAACCAGGTCCTGCCTTGGAGCACATCTTTCGGGATCGTCCAAGAGGGGGGTGTCCAAGAGGGGGGGGTGCAAATCATGACCGGCGGCATGTGCGCGGCCCAGCGGGGGGGCCAGGGACGTAATGAAATGATAAGAGGCGCCATGAAATCTGGGGAAATATCATGGCCCCCGCCATGATATCCACCCCCCCTAGTCATCACCCCCCTCTTTGCCGCCCCCGAATCTTCCAATCGATTGAAGGCACCCCTTGGTCCGATGCCTGCCCGGTGCTCTCGCTCTCATGCTCGCCCCGCCCGCTCAATCTGGACCCATCGTCAGCGAGCCCGAGGGGTGCCACAAGAAACACAAAAAACAGACACACACACACAAACTCAGAGAAGAACGGGTTACCACAACAAAAACAAAAAACACGGTGACAACCGGTGCTTGGGTTTTTTGCTATCTGGCTTTTCGGGACAACGGGTTGCCCTGTCTGGGGGCGGGCGGGGGCCTCCACGGAGCTCACCGCCGCGCCCCGAGGAGGCCCGACGAGGGCAACGCGGTGCCCCGTCCCAGACCCCAATGACGCGAATCGCGAACCGCACCCCCGCGCAACCACAGCCATCTGCCCCCACGACGCCGGGCCTCAGGCCGTCGAAGAAGATGGGGAGGTAGTGGTGGTAGTCCAACTTCTCAACGTCCACCTGTTCGGCGGCAGAACCATTGTTGTTCATTGGCCCTTTTGATTTCCTGGCTAGTGATGGGCCTTCGAGGCCTCAAGGTAACCCTGATTGCCAGGCTCGAGTTGCACGAATGTGGTAAAGACACCCTCTTCTGTTGGTCGATGCCCCTACCACAGCCTCATAAGGCCCCGATGCACTCCTAAAACTGCCCCAGGGGACCACAGAGGACTCTGAGAAGCACAACGGGAGCCCCTTATCGTCAATGTTCTCTCTTGAGGAGAAGGAATCAACGGTCCTTCAGGCTAAGCTACGTCAAGATAAATTACGCTCCGAGCACATCAGCCAAGCCAACCTGCGCGGAAATGAGCTGGGCTAAGCGAAGCTCAGCTATACGACTCTTGGCAGATACAGTCGACGAGCAGGAGCGTAGCCTCGTTGTCGAATGTCTGCTCGGTGTGATCCCTCCTTCGGCTTGACTGGTGTCCTCTCTTTTTGTTTCACGACTGCTGCTCAACTATTCTAACGGCAATTCCAGTAGTGGTCGTTTCAGCATGGGCTGATAGGGGGTACGCGAATCGTCGATGACAAGGCGCGGGGTCACGCAACGACAGCGGCCCTGCTGGATGCACATGCGCACGCAAAGTGATCTGCCCTTCCTGCCCTTCCTACATAACTATCGTCTAAGATCTCCTCCACACCCTCGTCCACCTCCTACTCCGTGTGCGTGTACATGATTGAGGGGGAGTCGAGCAGAGATCGAGTCCAGCGGAACACCGAGCGCGGTCGAATCAAGTGTGCTGGGTGTCTGTGCTTCGTGGATGGCCGATGAGACATACGGCGAATTGACCGAACGCAGCAAATTGGCAGAGCCTGCCAGTCGAAACGGATCTCGGGCACAACCAACTGACGCTCCTGCTACACCTCGAACTACCTTGAAACAAAGATCAAAATAATCAATCCCACGCGTGCGAGTCGGGCATTGTACGCTCTCGCAGCTCATCCCTGCTCCATCTCCCACCTGTGACCCCCTCTGGTCGACGATGGCTTAGAAGTAATCGCTGTGTCCACGTCTGGGGTCAATTGCTGGCGTCGGGCATCCAAGTGAGGAACATAGTGTTGCCATGCAGCCAACAGAGTTTATGTTTGATCACTCGACGCGCGCCTCGGACCCTTGCGACCTCATCACCGGGGCTTTGTTTCTGATTGCCCAGGGGCCCGAAACTGGCCTCGAGCGGCCCAAACTCGGGCTAACCAGCCACCGTTGAGTTCTGCTCAATGCGCCGAAGCCTGGGCTTGGAGCCATGCCTGTACCATCGAAGTGTACCATGATAGTGCTAACTTCCCTCCTCGTGCCACGCGAGCAAGTACGCAAATAACGGTGAGCAAATACCCAAATAAAGACGCGGCGCCTTCCACGCGATCTTGCAGGTCTGGCAGGGAGGGGAGGCGGGCTGAGAGGATGATGAGGGGTAGTTTGCCTGGCACCTGGCGAGGGGCCCAATCCGAGGAAGCTGCGTGTGCGCATGGCATGCCGATCTTGTCATACCACTCCTTTTTATATTTGATCATAGTGCGCGCCGCGGGGCAGTGCAGATAGGGGCCTGCAGAGCGAGGGCGCAGACGCGTACTAAATACCTTGCGGCCACGGCCCGCGTGAGGATGGGTGCCCAAGTGGGCGGAGCCCCCCCGCGCAGACGCACCCGCCGAGGCTGGAGGGTGGAGCTCCCCGCGGGGCACGATCCGCACGAGATGAGCGGCGGGAGGCCCTGCAACTTGCCCTCTGGTGCCGTAGGCAGAGCTCCCTGCGCGGCACGATCCAGGCGAGGGGTGAGCGAAGCGAGCGGGGAGGCTGCATGCGAGCCCTGTATCTGAGGCTGGAGGCGGAGCCCCCTGCGAGGCACGATCCGGATGAGGGGTGTGCCAGGAGGACCCCAGGGCAGCATGCGATACCGCCTGCTGGGCCCTGAGGTGGATCTCCCCATAGGGGGCAGGAAGCGTGTAACGGGTGGGCAGAGATGGGCGGGGGGACAACGCGATACCGCCCACGAGGGCCGTAGGTGAAGAGATTTTGTGACGGGATTGTCGAACTGGGCGTTAGGCGGCGTTCGTCCCCCCCGCCGGGACCCTATACGAGGGTTTTCTTATTCTGCGTTTCGGCATCGGGCGGAAGGGGGGGGGGGGTCTGGCTCCGGACCTTGCTTAATGCGACTGTTTGCAACAGCGCGTCCTATGGAGGAGACTCCACCTGTTCGAAACAGGCGCCCAAACCAGCCAAGTTCTTCTCTATGTCTATGGCTCTAAGGGGGCGGGTAGGGGGTGGGTGCGAGGGCCTGCGCCGATCGGCAAAACAATGAATAAGAACACGATCACTCTACAGTAGGGGCCCGACCACAAGAGACCTTCCACAAGAAACCCAACCCCGAGACCCCAGGCCGTCCATCGAATTTTGTTGCGGGAGCGTCACGCTTTCCATAGCAAAACCATCGAAACCAAAGAAACCCAGGGCACCCTGGAGGCAAGCAGGTTGTTTCTTAACATGGCCCCCCCCCTGTATGCGGAGCTCCCTGTGAAGGGAGTAGGTCTTTGGTCGGGCACGCCCCCCTACATGTTGATGTTGGATGTTTTTGTGTTGTAAGAAAGCAACAAAAACAATCAATCAATATCCAACAGCAGCAAAAACAATAGGAACACCGTCCCCAGACTATTGCTTTCACTGTTTTGGGATATTCCTCCTGTCAAGGGTCATGCCCGACTCAAGGCCAGCGGCTGCTCAGCGGCGCGTGAGGGGTGTGCCGGCTCTGGCGAGCGGCGGCGCGCGTCGGCGCCCCGGAGAGTGGGTACTCATGCAGAGCTCCCTGCAGGGGCACGGAGCCGTGCCATCGTTCGGACGTCCATTTCCTCCTCCTCCTCCTCCTCCTCCTCCTCGTCCCTCCTCCTCGTCCCTCCTCCTCGTCCTCATCCTCCTCGTCCCTCTTCCTCGTCCTCCTCGTCCTCCTCCTCCTCCTCCTCCTCCTCCTCCTCCTGCTCCTCCACCTCCTCCCCGTGCACCGTTCGGTTCGCGAGTTTTTGTCCTAACCCTCCTGTGTCGGGTTCTCGTTTTGAATGGAGCAGTGTGGTCTCCACCTCCTCCTCCTCCTCTCCTCCTCCTCCTCTCCTCCTTCTCTCCCGTGTTCCCTTCTCCTCTTCTCTCGTGCCGTCTGCGATCTGCGCAACTGTCGCCACTTTCGTGAGCTCCTGGGAGGCCCAGCGGAGGTGGGCCCCACGAGGATCAGCTCGGGACCTCGCCGCTCCCTGGGGGGCTTGCGATCTGCGCAACTGTCGCCACTTTCGTGGGCTCCTGGGAGGCCCAGCGGAGGTGGGCCCCACGCGGATCACCTCGGGACCTCGCCGCCCCGATCTGCGCAACTATCGCCACTTTCGTGGGCTCCTGGGAGGCCCAGCGAAGGTGGGTCCCACGCGGATCAGCTCGGGACCTCGCCGCCTCCTGAGGGGCTTGCGATCTGCGCAACTGTCGCCACTTTCGTGGACTCCTGGGAGGCCCAGCGGAGGTAGGCCCCCCGCAGATAACCTCGGGACCTCGCCGCCCCCTGGGGGGGCTTGCGAGCTGCGCAACTATCGCCACTTTCGTGGGCTCCTGGGAGGCCCAGCGGAGGTGGGCCCCACGCGGATCACCTCGGGACCTCGCCGCCCCGATCTACGCAACTATCGCCACTTTCGTGGGCTCCTGGGAGGCCCAGCGGAGGTTGGCCCCACGCGGATCACCTCGGGACCTCGCCGCCTCCTGAGGGGCTTGCGAGCTGCGCAACTGTCGCCACTTTCGTGGGCTCCTGGGAGGCCCAGCGGAGGTGGGCCCCCCGCAGATCACCTCGGGACCTCGCCGCCCCCCTGGGGGGCTTGCGATCTGCGCAACTATCGCCACTTTCGTGGGCTCCTGGGAGGCCCAGCGAAGGTGGGTCCCACGCGGATCAGCTCGGGACCTCGCCGCCTCCTGAGGGGCTTGCGATCTGCGCAACTGTCGCCACTTTCGTAGGCTCCTGGGAGGCCCAGCGGAGGTGGGTCCCACGCAGACCACCTCAGGACCTCGCCGCCCCCTGAGGGGCTTGCGATCGGTGCAACTTTCGCCACGTTCGCTCGCTTTCGCTGCCGCGCTCTCTTTTTTTTGGGGGGGGGCGCAAAGGCAAGGCGCGGTGCAGCAGCTGCAGTCTGGCTGATGGGGCAACGTCGGGCCTCCCCTCCGACGAAGTGGCACAAAGCACCTAAGGCAAGGATATATAGTCCCTCCAAATTCCGTGCGACAGATGGCAAGAATGCGAGGACATCTCGGTCCGTACCGCTCTCACTGGCGTCCGCTCCTGCCATGCGATTTCCAACGCTTGTGGAGACTGTCAGCCCACGTATTGAATACATGTTCGTATAGGCCGACGTTCCGTCGCGTGCTGCTGTCGAAGACAATCTTACTCGAAGGCCGGAAAGCATCTTGGATTGAAAGGCCAATTCGCGCATCCGAAGCATCGTGACTGTGATTCCAATCCCCGTCCCACACCTTCATGAATTCGGAATGCCTGTGTTGCCAGATGTTACCACCCGGCCCCCAAATAACTGTCATGCGAGGCACATAGAACGAGAAACGATGATGCGGCAGTGCAAACTTGTGGAAACCAAAAACTTTGCTCTGGATCTTAAAGTACTGATATCGCAAATGTTAAGCCCCTCGAACACGGTCACAACAATTGAAGATTTGTTCTTCAAACCTTGACGTCATAGCCTCATACGGCATGTCGGCGCCTGCAACGTCAGCATGCAAGACATCGTCGGGACAGAAACCGCAGCGCCTTTGCAGCATCGTTTCAACGATCCACGGCATCAGCATATCACCGGCAGTGGGCCGACCCATAGCGCCATAGAAAAGCACCTTGCGACCATGCGAATTACTTCAGTGCACCCTGAGCTGGTCGACTGGCTCGCGACATGCAATGCAGTCTCCCTGCAGCCTGTGCACCCAGCACCTGGGACCCTTCGCCCTGAATCCATGAAAGCGGACAAGCACTGGTCCGTGAGCCCATGATACTGACTGCGAATAGATACGAGCGAATGGACTCATCACGCGACGAGCATGCGAACGAAACAACAACAACAATGAAGAACAGCCACCATGGAACAACGGAGAACAATCTGCCTTCCACCATGTGTCTAATGTTCCGATCGGTTCATCTGCATTAAGTCTGGGGTGTTCGGTAATCGAGTGACGATAGCCTCTTGGCCCGAAATGGCCACTTGAGCCAAAATGGCTACGGATTTCGCTGCCGCGCTCTCTTGTAACCACTTTTGGCCGCTTTTTCTACCGCACCCTCCTGCGTCCACTTTTGTGTGCTCCTGCTTCTTCTCGCGACCGCGACCTTTTGATTCCACTTTTGGGTGCTTCTCTTTGGGTTCGCTGCCGCGCCCTTCTGTCTCCACTTCTGGATGAGTCTCCACCCCCGTTTTGCACGTCATGCATTTGCCCCGCTCAGCGCAGCGCGTTGCTGAGTTAAACTGATGCTATGTTTTTGCCCTCGCCGCCGCGCCCTCTTGTGTTCACTTTTTGGGCGCGTTTCTTTCAACGCCCCTGTCTTTCCATGTTGTATATTTGCTGCTCCTCTTCTTGCTGCCCTTCTGAAATTACTGCGGGGTGCTCTTCTTGCGCACTGCGGGTCCTTCAGAGTGCCATTCAGCATTGAGTGGTCCAGAGTATAACCGCCACATACATAGAAAGGATTGGGTACGTCACAGGGTAATTGTGTGCGCTTTTTTGTTTGGAGGGGGTGTTATAGATACACGCATATATATACATATATATATTATATATGTATATGTATATGTATGTATGTGTATATATATATAGCTCGCCTAACCGTTCCCTCCCGCCAGGCTCATTTTTGTGTGAGGGGCTGACCAGGCCAGTGACTTCGATACGTCGATGCCGAGGAACGCCAAGCCGAGAGCACACACCCTGCTTAAAGAGATTGCGTTACAGTTTGCTGAGCATTAAAAAGGAGAAGAGAGAGGCGAGAGAGGCACAGCACAGACACACACCCACAAAGGCACGCGAGAGGGGAGGGAGGGAGGGAAGACTTGAGCGTGGCAGTTGCGGCGGGATCCAGGATGGGCTATGCCTAAACATGTGAAATGTGACAGCTCGCCTAACCGTTCCCTCCCGCCAGGCTCATTTTTGTGTGAGGGGCTGACCAGGCCAGTGACTTCGATACGTCGATGCCGAGGAACGCCAAGCCGAGAGCACACACCCGTACCCGTATGGTGAACTGGCCGACTTACTGGTATGCAAGAGGCGGCCGAATAGATATACTTCATTTCCCATAGGCCACGTCAACAGCATATTTAGAAAACTTCCGAGCACGTTTATCCTCAAAAGACCTCTCCAAAACCCGGCTGA